CCCAGGTACCAAAATATTTTTTAAAAATTAAAAAAAAAAAACAAACAGGCAGAACACTATGTATGATATAGTTCCTTTTTTATTTTATAAAGAAAATTTCTGTAAGATTTTATAAGATGCAAAGTGTTGCTGCCTCTGAGGAACTAAGATTAATGAAGGGGGTAGAGTGGACTTTTAACTTTCCATTTTACAGAATTCTGCAAAGTCTGAACTTTTCAGAATATATGTGAAATACTTTTATGATAAAAGCAAAAGGAGTTTAAATCTAAAACCTTTATTAGGACATTTAAAAAGAAAATGGTTTGTAAACTGCCTCAGTATATTATTTCTAAAGGGAAAAGGTGTGAAATCACACATACTAAGTTCGTAGTAAAAGAGGGTCAATTAAAGATGAATACAAAGAAGTGTTTCAAAACAGTCTGGACATAACTGTCCATACACAGAATTTCCCCACTAGTCAATGCTCTGCAAAAACTGTTTCGCGAGCTGTTTTCTAACATATTTTATATTTTATATCATGTTATTAAAAAGGTAGCTGGGCATGGTGTGTGTGCACCTGTAATCCTAGCACTCAGGAGGCTGAGGCAGGAGGGCTGCCTTAGTTTGAGGCCAGCCTGCACTATAAAGCAAGATGCTGTCTCAAAAAAATAAAAAAATAAAAACAGGGCCAGGGATTTAGCTCAGTGGTTCCGCAGCCTGCCTCAAAAGTGCAAGGACCTGAGTTTGATCCCCGGTACCAAAAAATAAAAACAGGGCCGGGGATTTAGCTCAGTGGTTCCGCTGCCTGCCCCACAAGCACAAGGTCCCAAGTTCGACCCCCAGTACCAAAAAAATAAAGAAAGAAAATAAAGAAAAACAAAAGGTAAATAATAGTTATCACCACTACCACTATACAAATTCTGGGCTGGTTCCAGGTGTGTCTGCAGAATGCAAATTTTTTTAAATTACTGGAGTGGAAAAAGAAATTCAAAAAGATATATAACTGCATAGTTCGTTTGTTCTTTCTTGTTTTCTTCAGTCTTGTTTTTTCAGTCTCAATCCTCCTGCCTCAGCCACAGCATGTACTGCCACATCCAGATGGTAGTTATCATTTCTCAAGATAGCTAATGGACTTTAAATTTCTGTCAGACATGCCCAGTTCTACTTTAAAGGCCTGAGCCAGATGAGTATAAACACTTTTTTCCAGCTGGCAAACCACGTGTCAAAATTCACTTAAACCTTAGTAAATAAACACTTGAGATTTCTTAAAATTGTACCTAGAAATACTACTCAACTTTCATATTTCACTAAAGAATAATCTAAATTCCTTAAAACTTCCTTTTATAAAAATCTAAGGTGACAATGAATGTACTTCAATTTCATAGATATTAAAATGGAAAAAAATATACCCCACTCTTAAGCGAAATAAATACTAAAAATCACCAGGTATGGTGGCACAGACTATACTCCCAGCACCCAGGAGGCTGAGGTAGGAGAATCACCACAAGCTCAAGGCAAGCCTGAAATATGTAGTAAGATCTTAGTCTCAAAAAAAACACAAAAAAACCAACAAACAAAAAAACTCCCAAATTTGATGAATTAGGATTAATAAAAGGCCATTTCACAAAGAAATGACAAGGCTTCATTAAATGTATACTTACAAGGAGGTGGCATATAATGCCGACATGAAGAGAGAGAGGGCTGAGGAGGGGGCTGGGGCTGGGGCTGGGCGACCAGGCTTGTTCCATAGCTGTCTATGGACAGTGGCTGGCTCGGGGCAGCAGCCGCAGCCTGATGGCCAAAGATTGCAGCTCGGGAAGAAGAAACAGGACAGCAGGGGTCAAACGCAGATGCTCCATGAAAACCACCACTTCCATGACTCCTGATCCCACTGTTGCTCAGGTCTACCGGCAATGCCTGCTACACAAAGAAGAATCATATTTTACCTTTTCAAAATTTTTGTCAGAACATTATTTCTATTATTAAAGTATTCCTAATGTAAACTAGAAAAATAAAACCTTTGAATTAATTCAAAAAAGGTGGTTATTAGTCTAAGATCTGCGGAACATCAATAAACTACTGCACACACAAAAAAATTAAAAATTAAAAAAAAAACAAAACTACTGCACAGCTTGGACTGTGAAAATTGAACTGGTTTTCAAGATGCATTATGTAAAGGTACAATTCCCAATGTGAAATACAATTGTGTTGTATACCTACAACGTACCGATGAAAGAATTTAATACCAAAAAAAAAAGAAAATTGAACTGGTTTTATACTTAAAATCTAAAGTCAATTTTTTTTTTTTGGTACCGGGGATCAAACTCAGGACCTTGCACTTGTGGGGCAGGCGGCAGAACTCCTGAGCTAAATCCCTGGCCCTAAAGTCAATTTTTTAAAAATCAAGCATAAGATCATTATCACAAGGGCTGGGGATTTAGGCCAGTGGTTTTGCCACCTGCTGCGCAAGTGCAAGGACCTGAGTTCGATCCCCAGTATCAAAAAATAAAAAAAATAAAAATTATTTTAAGGTCTATTTCTCTTGCGTTATCAACATCTGAGAGAGAAATAAAGTTTATATATTCTCTTTCACCCAAAGTTCTCACCACTAATTCACAAGTCCTTAGAAAAGACATCATCACACCACTGAAAACTTGAAGGTTCTAGTGAAAAATGTGCCAAATTTCTAAACTCTTATAGCAAGTGTTCAACAGGAACTCTAATAGTGAAACAAATCTACAAGATTATTCAGCCTAAATCACAGATTAGCTTTGCCTTGCTTGACAAAAACATTAAAGATCAAGCCAATGCTTCCTTTTATTAGGAATCTGATTTGTGGGAAGGCTCATTTACTAAGCTGGGCAATAAACCAGAGTACAGAACTCGTCTCTACTTACCAGTACTTTTTTCCTCCAAAATGTTTGAAAAGTTCTAAATATGTAGGGTAACTATAGCCTACAACAATCTATGATGTATTTCAAAATAACTAGAAAAGTAGAGTCTGAAGGTTCCGTTCCTAGCATGGAGAAGTAAAAAATGTTTAAAGAAATGGAAACACTAATTACTGTGATTTGATCATTATTTACTGTTTATACATATCAAATTATTAGATTGCTCTCCATAAATAGGTACAATTATGTGTCCATTAAATTTTTTTGGAGGGGGTACCAGGGATTGAACTTGGGACCTTGAGCTTGGAGACAGGTGGCGGAACCACTGAGCTAAATCCCCAGCCCTAAATTTTTTTTTTTTTTTTAGCAGAATAAAACATGCCTTTATTTTACCTGCTGTGTTTTTAATATCAATCTTAAAGTAATGATGAAAAGGATAGTTTTTTTCAATGTGAATATTTTGGAATATGGTAAAATATCCTTGGCACTTCAAAATAGTATAATGGCTAGTTCCTATGTATCTTCACAAAACTTGCCTGAATGCCAAGTCATTAGATGCATTTCCGACCTTTTGCTGATATTTTAATGATGGTGATGCCAGCCAGAAATGTTGTGAGGAATATCAAGTTAGTGATGGTGAAACATTGGGAACACAGTGTAGCTCAATCTTTTGTTTTTTAAGGTGCAGTGATTTCAGTCTCTAAATGTAACTTCAGGCAGTCTGTTTAGCTATGAGGCACAGACTGCAATTTATCTGGTACTAATGGACATACAAAGCTGAAAATTATTCATGGGGAGGCAACATTCTACTAAAAACCTGTGTATAAACCACAAATTCTCGGGGCTCACTTTTCCAGTCCTCAAACTGCAGTACACTCCCCCTCCTCACGCTCTTTAATCTTCTTTCCTCAACTCCTAAACTTCCCCCCGCCCCTCCCTAAATTTTTTTTAAAACAGTCTTCTTCTGTCGTTCAGGCTGGCCTTGAACTTTCAGCAATTCTGTCTCAACCTCCCTAAAATTTTTTAAATCCTACATAAAACTTTCAACTTATTCCCAAGCAGATTATCTAAATAACTGCTTCTTTGTATTCTTCTTTTTTCTCTGTTTTATTGAGTAATTTAAATACATGTTTACTGCTTACGTTCCACATAGCTGTGGTTTTATAAATACAATTAAAGAAAATAAAGATTTGGTGTCACATATGGAATTACATACAGGAACTGTTCCATATTGGAAGCTGAGGAACTGGAGATGAAGAAAACCAGGATAACCATTTGTTATTAGCACAGATTATCCAGTCCTCAGAGGAACTATGGCAGTCTTCTTACTTTCAGTGGGCTCTACACTCAGAAGACAACAGAAAAACTGGAAGGGAGGTAAAGGTACAGGAAAAACTAAGTGAGGGAGAAAGGGAAGAGTGCTAGCCCGGCATAGTGGCACACCTTTATAATCCCAGCACTCAGGAGGCTGAGGCAGCAAGATCACCGTGAGTTCATAGTCAGCCTGGGCTGCACAGGAAGACCCTGTCTCAACCCTCACCCAAAGCCCTTCCCAAATGGGCAGGCACCTCTCTTCTATGCTGTGTGTACACAATCAAGTAAAGGACTGCCCTATATGTTAAGGCAGCAAACACAATGCATGCCTGCAATTCAGGTAAATGGGGTTTAGGAATAATACTGTGGGCAGGCATGGTGGCACCTGCCTGTTCCCCCAGCACTCTGGGAGGCTATGGTAGAAGGATCATAAGTTCCTAGCCTAGCCTGGGCCATCTAGCCCACATGAGCCCCTGTTCCAAAATTAAAAAGCAGGTATTTTAGGAAAGGTCAGATGACAGAGAAAAGCAACTGTTCTGAATTTTCCTTTTCACTTGATTTAGTCTGTGATCAATAGGAATTTAGTATTATTTGACATTTTAAGTGCTCACTAAAAATACCAACTCATTTAATCATAATTTTTCTTTTTTTTGCTTACATTTCAATTTTCTAAAAACCAAAAACCTCACCTGCTCCTAAGAACATATGCTGCAGGTCTGCATCTGAGAAAGCTACTTATGTCTAGATTCATGGAGGTTACAATGAGTTCTAGAGTCACACATAGAAAAAAAAAACAGGAAATTTTCTAATTTTTTGTGAATCAGGTAGACAGTTTTAGCATCTTATTTGAAATAAACTCCCAAAGATGAGATTTAAATATATTTAAGTAAAGACATCAAAAATCATTTCAGAATAAAAAAGTGATTTTTAGATTAAACATTATTTCTAATTTAACTTTCCCTTCTCCTCCACCCGCCCTGGGATTGAACCCAAGGCCTTGCAAAAGGTAGGCAAGCACTCTGCCAGTGACTGACTTTCCCAGCATCTTTAACTTTTGAGACAGGGTCTCATTAAATTTTCCAAGATGGCCTCAAACTTGTGGTCCTCCTGCCTCAGCCTCCCAAGTACTGGGAGATTGAAGGTATTCCCCACCATGCCTGGACTCCATATTCTTGTTCCCCTCAATTATTTGCAATAGGAAAATCCTAGGTATTTAATTTAAAAAAAACTCACATACCACTAAATTAGGTCATTTTTACACGCAAGAAAATTAAGTGCATAAAACTTCTCATTAGGGTTTTTTTCCTTCTTCCTAATGGCACCACAAACAAAGGAAGGAAAAGGAGGAGGGAGGAAGACTCTTCAAATTCCACATACCTGGTCATGGTAGCTGGTACTAGAGCCACTATTTCCCCCACAGGGCACCTGTACTTGTGGAGGTCTTTCCACGGGGCAGGCAGGGTCACTGAAGGTAGGAGAAGCCGGAACAGCTGGGTGGGGAGGATGGTGGTGGTGGTGGTGGTGTTGGAAATGATGGCCGTGCTGCTGAAAGCAGCCTGTGTGTGCGTGTCCCAGTCCGTGGAGATTCTGTGATGGTCCTCCGCATGGTGAGTGCTGGGGACAGCAGGAGGGGAGCCTTGGCATTGCAGGGGGACCAGTTTCTGTCATAGCACTAGAGGCAGTCCTTCTTGATTCGTCTTAAGACAGGAAACAAATAAAGGTAAATAATCAAATCATCATATATCACAGTATAAAAATAAGGGCTGTGTATAAATAAAAACTAAGAAATGTTCAGTAAATTCTAATCTTTGTAAATAAGATATAATATTGCCACATTCTAAAGACAGACATATAATTTGGAAAAGTGGTCTTCATTGGGTTTTCCTGAAATTCTAATTCTTCAAGGGGTTCATCATTTACCACTATGTATAAATCTGGCAATAGATTACCTCTTCCTAGATCAATACAAGTTATTTGTTCTCAGTAAAATTCCATTTAAAAAACTCCAAACTATCATGGGATTCTTCCAATATACGGTACAGAGCAATGGATTTTATTAACACCTAACACCATGACTCATTCCCACATAGGGCAGGCTTAAAAATCTCACTTTTTTAAGAGACAGCCACCCAACTCAGACAATATCAAGCTAAGTCCAACCACCACTCTTTATTCTGGTAGTTTTTGTTGGAATCAACAGAAAATAAGCAGTGATGAAATAGAAAGAAAAGGTTCAAAGAGGTAGGAGAAGTGGGACGGGTAGGGGAAAGGAAAGAAGGGAAAGGAAAAAAATATGACAAAAGGAAAAAATGAAAACAAAGTCTTTGTAAATAGGGAAGGGTGGAGGGGGTGAAGGGAGGGCAGGGGAAAGGGGAAAAAATAAGAACCATGATACATCATATAAAGGTACAAGTTCCCAATGGTAAGTGTAAATGTATTGTATACCTAAAATGTATCAATAAAATAATTTAAGAAAATAAGCAGTGATAAGTGTTTGAAAATAAAATGTCTCATCATAATTGTCATGGGGGAAAACTGTATGAAGCCCAAAAGACCTGGACTCCAATCCTGAGGCTGAACACCTATTTAAGGAGAAAAGCATTAATAATGTGGCTTTAAACAGAAGAATGCAGTGAAAGTTCTTCTTCCTAGTGTACATTTTGGCTTCCAATTAAGTAGTTTATTTTCCTATAATCTAGAACCTATTTCTTAAACAGGACTGCAACCCAAATTAAAGAGAACTGAGTGGGCCTAGTTCGACATGCCTGTAATCCAGCTGACTGGGAGTCTGAGGCAGCAGAATTTCAAGTTCAAGGCCAGCATGAGCAAATTGGTGAGACCATGTTTCAAAATAAAATTTCAGCTGGCCATGGGGGCTCACACCTGTAACCCCAGCACTGGGGAGGCTAAGGCAGGAGGATCATGAGTTTGAGGCCAGCCTGGGCTACAAAGTGAGACCCTATCGCCAAAAATCAAAACAAACAAACGAACAATAATAATACTAACAATGAAACTTCAAAAAAGGGCTGGGGATAACAGCTCAGTGGTAGAGAACTCAATGCTAGCTAGAGCTGTTGGCTAGCACATGAGAGGCCCTAGGTTTGATCCCCAGTACAGGGGGAAAAAAAGAAAAAAAGAAAAAGAGTCAAGTGTTCTGTCATTTGAGAGTAAATGACCATGAATTAGAAGTCATGTACAATGATCTGATTATATGAATAAAAAACCCTTTTTAGTTAAGATTAATCCATAAAGGGTCTACTAAAAATGAAACAATCAGAAGCCTGCATCAGAGAAATTAACTCCAGAGCTCAGAGACACTAAATTGGTCAGGGTCTCCACTGTCACTGTAGGGGGCAACTCCTGAGATGCATGCACAGGTTTAGTCATTCATCTGGCAAGTCTTCCACATAATAACAACATGGTGAAGGATCTACTAAAGGCAGTGTAGAATACAAAGGTGAAAACACAAGTCTTGGTCTCTAAAATTGCTTACAATATTGCCTGCCTTTGTCACTTTAACTCTCACAACTGGGACTATGCAGGCACAATGTAGGTGGCTTGATAAGCCCGTGCTATATCTGAGTTATCCTCACAAGGAAAAGAGGCAAGCATGCATGTGGTTAAGTGCTAAGGACAGAAAGACTCAAACTTTGGCCCTAACACAGCTCATCACCAATCATGGAAGAAAAAAATTGGGCTACAAAACAACCAGCATTGTAACAGATGATCTGGGTTCTAGTATTGCATAGAACAATAATAAAACAAGACTAAACTATTATTCTCCACTAAAAAGTAAGCTCTATTAGCATCAGATTTGTTGTGTTGTTCCCAGTGCCTAGAGTAATGCGTAATAGCACAATATGCAACAAACAAGTATTTCTTGAATGAATGAATATGCATGTGTCATTCAAAGAACACATGCAGAGGTCAGAAAAATGAAGTGATTTCAGCATGTTGAGTATGGGGTGAGTGCAGAATGGTCCAGAGGAGATGTTCAAGATGCTGGATATGAAAGCATAAAATCAATTCAGTGGTACCGGGTGAAGTGACAAACACTTGCGATCCTGGCACTGGGAAGGCTGAGGCAGGAGGATCACCACAGATTTGAGCCCAGCCTGGGCTACACTGTTGAGTTCAAGCCCAGCTTGAACTACATAGCAAGACCCTATCCTCCCACCTCCAACCCTCCCCCAAAAAAGTCAATGGTCTAAAAACACAGAATGGAGAGTCACTAGCATACCAGTGAGAGGTAGGAACACCACAGTTATGAGTCAGGCCAGGGAGAATAGAGATGAGAACATGAGAAAATGAATGTGTGAACAAGGTTATCACCAGATTTTTCAAAGCAAGTTTGTTCTTTCTGAAAGGATTCAGAAGCACAGTAGAACAGAGTTTAGGGTGACAAAAATCCACTCTGAGTAGACACAGACATAACACAAATGTACCTGTGCAGTACTGAGACTGGAACTAGTGAAGGTGCAGAGGCAAAGAGAATATAACTGCCGAAGTAAGCCAAGATCAAGAGAAAGACAAGGCAGTACAACACAAAGGGAGCAGAAGGACAGAAGAGTTAGAAGACCAAGAGTTAAGAGAAAAGGATAGGTATGGATACTCAGAAGTTTTCAGAAAGGTGCTAGAAGTTGTACAAGTTCATGCTTGAGAGCCTTCATTTTTTTTCTCTTTCCCCACCAGAGGTTAGTTTGGGCTGGCCTTGAATCCACTATGTAGACCAGGCTGGCCTCAAACTTGCAGCACTCCCACTGCCTCAGCCTCCCGAGTGCTGGGATTATAGGCCTATACCAGCATATCTGGCTAAGTTCAAATCTTCACTGGAAAGATTATTACTGACATCAGTCAAGGTATTTAACTTTCCAAGTTTCTTCATTTGTAAAATAGGGAGAGTAATGTTAACATAAAGAATATTTAAGATTAAATAAGCTGGACATGGTAGCACATGCCGGTAATCCCAGCACTCAGGAGGCTGAGGCAGGAGGATTGCCACGAGTTCAGGGCCAGCCTGAAGCACAGACTGAGACTCTGTCTCAAAAAAACAGAAAATAATAACACACAAAAGTAACATATACGATACCTCAGCAAATTAGTACATATTATACAGTCAATAAATACAAGTCCATTTTTATTCTGCCTACATTTTTTTCCCCAAAGAATGCAGTACTTAAAAACATTCCTGGGGGCCTCGGATTTACCTCAGTGGTTTCACCGCCTGGTGCGCAAGCGCAAGGACCCGAGTTCAATCCCCAGTACCAAAAAAAAAAAAAAGTACAAAAAAAAAAAACATTCCTGGGAAATCTCCTTAACATTGCTCAATTCTGCCTTTACAGTTCCAGAGAAGGGGAGTCCTTCCTAATCCAGATGCAAGTAATTTTCCAATCTGCCCAAGCCAAATTATAAGGATATTATAAAAGTTAAATGATATGCTATTAAAAACAGTAACTAATAAAAAATATAAGCATCTTTATTAAAAATCATGACACAGTCAATCTGTGACTACAGGGTCTACCATGTCCCTGGTAGCAGGCAGTTATCAAGTTCTACCTCTGCACCCCTGTCCAAAAGAGAATGCTAGCACAAGGCTCAGTAAAGCAGTTGACAGGAGAGAGCGAGATTAACTGTTTACACAAAAAATAACATGAAATAAGAGCTAACGTTATATAGTTCTTCAGGCCTGGGGGTGCAGTTCAGTGGCAGAGTACATGCCTAGAACGGCAAGGCCCTGTGTTCAAGCTGTAGCATGGGGTGGGGTACACACAGGCAGACATCTTTGTGACCTTGAGTCAGGCAACAGGCTTCTTACACATAATGAAAAAGAACAAGCAACAACAGGGAAAAAAAAAACACCCACAAAATACTTCATACTCCCATCTGAGTATACATGGTGCTCAGAAACAGAATGGGTGTGAGCCCGGGATGTAGCTCAGTGGCACCCCACCTGCCTGGCAAGTGCAAGGTCCTGAGTTTGATTCCCTGTACCAGGGAAAAACCCAAAAGAAATAGAATTAGTGGGTCACACGGTAACTCTACGTTGTTTGGTTTTTAACAGCACTGGGGATTGAACCTCTGCACTGAGCTACATTACCAGCCTTTCATTTTTTATTTTGAGACAGGGTCTTGTTAAGTTGCACAGACTGAGCTTAAACGTGTAATCTTCCTGCCTCAGCCTCCCAGTCTGGGATTAGACATGCCACCACCCAGCTTGTTTAACTTTTTGCAAAACATTAAAGTGTTTTCAACAGTTTTGCCATTTTTCATTACTACCAGCATTTCACCAAGACTAAATTATTCTGTTTTATTTGTCATTTTGTAATTATAGCCTCCCTAATGGGTGCTTCATCATATTTCACTGTGGTTTGATTTGCATTTCACTAATGACCAGAGATGCTAAGTCCCTCCGCATGTGAGTCTTGAGTCATCTGTATAGCTTACTTTGAGAATAAAAAAATCTTTTTTAACCTGCGTTGCCTATGTTTTCGTGAAATTATAAGAGTTTTTATTAGCCAGATGTGGTGGTGCACACCTGTAATCCCACCGTGAAGGTTCATGAGGTCAAACTTAACTTTTTCTTTTGTTGCTAATACATTTGGTGTGACCCATTTAAATTTTCCCACGCTCTCTCTGATGAGCTGTAATACTTCGGTAGCTTGTAGTACAGAAAATCAAATATGAAATCATAGTCTAATTCAAATAAACACTACTTTGTTCTCATGAGGTTTATTAAAATGTAAGAATACACTTGCTAATACAGCAAAAACTTTAAACAAAACCAATACTGCTTTTCCTAACAAACGTCATGATGAAACGCATGCCTGTAATCTCAGCACTCTGGGAGGCTAACACAGAAAGATCACAAATTCTAGTCAAACTTGGCAACTCAACAAGACCTTAACTCAAAACAAAAAATTTTAAGAAGGCTGAGAGTATAGCTCAATGTGAAAGCTCTATCAATTCCCAGTACATCCAAAAAAAAGCCATGACCAGAAGTTCTGCAAACAAACGTTTTCACATACCTCCTATAGAAGTACCAGTTGTACTGTTGCTTGTAAGAGTAGGTGAAGTCTCTGATACTGTGGAAGGTTGGCTACTGGTGACAGCTGAAACAGTATCAGAGGCCTGCTCAGAGGTAGATGGATTTGAATTGTTAACGGAAGCACTAGTAGTTTGTGATTCCATTCTCACAGAAGTGGTTGGTACTACAGTAGGTTCTATAAAACATAAAACATCTACTTAGTATTTACAACAGATTAAATACAGGGTTATAGTTTAATCCAACCTAACATTCTTATGATAATTACTAAAATAAGCAAACGTTAAAAATATAAACTCTCGGGCTGGGGATTTAGCTCAGTGGTTCCGCCACCTGCCTCGCAAGCACAAGGTCCCGAGTTCGATCCACGGCTTCAA